TGTATTGGGATTGCATTAAATGTGTAAATTGCTTTTGGTAGTATTGCCATTTTCACAACATTGAGTCTTCCTATCCATGAGCAAGGGATATTCTGGCAGCTGCCACCTGTCCGGCGATTCTGTCCAGATCTCTTTGTCCCTGAGGTGTCAGTTTGTGGCCCCCATCTTGGTCTCTTTCCACAATTTTGAGCCCTTCCAGGTCTTGGAGGACACGGTGGGCCACGCTTTTGGAGCCTCGGCTGAAGTGGCTGGACATTACACCGTTTCTCTACCGCCCCCGTAGATCTTGGTCATAGAGCCAACCCCAGCACCACCCCGGAGGTACAGGTGCCACGCTGTGGAAGCAGCTCGCATGTAGAACCAGTTCTCATCGTAGGGAGCAAGCTCTTTATGCTTGGCCAGCTTGACAATGTCCACCCATTCGGGGACTTTCAGCCTCCCGGACTTTTTGAGGAAGGCTGCCAGAGCTCTAACGAACTCCTGCTGGTTCATGTCTTTTACAGTAACTCCAGGCATCGTGCGGCCTCCGCGCTGCTAGCCAGGGGAAAGGGTGTGCACGGGTTTTTAAAGGATGAGTCCTGTGCCCATTTCTTCCACAATGGCTATTTCAATGATGACATGCTCAGAGTCCATGCTCCAGGACCCACGAAGAGTATCCTCCATGCTTTTCTCCTTGTAGAAGAAATAGGACGTTTCTCAAGATGAGGTTCTGGGAGGCAGGGGCTCCAACCCCATGCCGGCATCTCTGGGACTGGATGCAGTACCGCAGATGTCCACCGGGGGCACCAGTCTCACGTTCTCAGTTGCTGCCAAGAGGTCTTGACTCGCTCTTCTCATACCAATTTTACGCACAGGGGAACTGAGACTTACCACACATAGTGGAGTCCATGAACCTGAGCTCCTGCTCCCCGCACATGAAGGTCTCTATACTCCTCCCTTACCAGGATCTCCCACCTCCTGAGTTGGCCCACCCCAAAAAGGAACCCAGAGACCAGGAACAAAGATGGAATCAGGTTCAAGACCTCCACAGTCCTTGACACTCTCACTGTCTATGTCTCCCCAGCCAGTCACCCAGCACGGGGGGTTCCTGGAGGGAAGCTCTGGGAGGTGGAAGGCAGGGAGATCAGCTGCACGTAGTTGGAGGTATTTACAGGTTCCTGGAGCTCCAGCAGGGCGATGTCAGCACCTCCCTGCTCGAAGTAGAAGTTTGGGTGCATGAAGATCCTGCTGAGGGGCAGCAGTTGGTCATGGTAGTAGAGAAGCTGTTCGCGGAGCTACACCCTGAAGACTGAGGGGTTCATGACTTTCCTGGGGAGAGGAGAATGGCCAACTTGGGGGTTCAGACACTGTGGACACAGTATCTTCTGGGACTTCACCACCCAACCCCCTGCTACTCACGGTCCAACACAATGGCCCGCAGTCAACACCCATTGGGGATACACAAGGGAGCCCCCACAGAAGTGTATCCAGAATTCTGTGTTGACCCACCCGCTCACTTGCCATGGCCACTTGCTCCCAGGGGCTTCCTCTTCCCCAACAATGCCCACTCGCTCCAGGACTGGGGCTGGAGGTGGGGGGAGAGGGCAGTACCAGTTTTCAGGACCAGCTCTCGACCTGATGCAGCCCTTCACCACAGGGCAGTCCTGGGCATCTCAAACGTCAAGCCCTTGCGGGGTATTCCTTATCTGGACTAGAAGTTGGGGACCTTGATAATTCAGCTAATCACAGTAGTGCGTATGGAGGCGAGGTGTGAGGGTGAGGGAAAAGGAGAATCAGGGTCAAAACTCACCAGGAGCCCCAGGGGTCAGGCCCACCAGGAGGGTCAGTACCAGCACATGCAGGGCCAGCATCTGGAGGATTGAGGCTGGGTGGGCGAAGCCGGCTGGGGGTCTGCACAGGGCAGGTACAAGAGGACCAGTGGGAAGTCCGACCTCAGGTGTCTGAGGTCTCAGCACTGCACTGTGACATCCGCATGTCAGGAAATGTGAGGAAGGGGACCTACCTTTGCCAGCCACTTTCCGTTCCCCATTTATCCCTCCATAAGTCATGAAGGCAGGAGAGGCAAGCGAGACGAGTCAGACCAAGGGTTAATCCACTGGGCCAGGAAGTGATTCTCCAGGCAGCTGCAACGTCTGGGTTACCTATGGGCCTGCAAGATGAGGCCCATTATCTGGGATCAGAGGCCTTTCCTTCAGCAGGGGAAACGAGGGGAGGGAGCCAGCCCCATTCCCAGGAACCTACCCTTTTTCAAGTCTACAGTGTCCTCGTTTCTTTTCTCCCTGTTGTCAAAAGGCCATTTCCCTTCTTGTCCATTCACTCGATCTTGTTCTATTCTTGGACCCGCTGGTCACCGGGACCTCCGCCCCACTCCTTGCCCCATTCACGCCTTCCTGGCTGGCACATCTGCTGGGATTCAAGGGGAAGTTTCCCAGGGCAGGTGCCTCTCATGCATTCACGCAGCAAACTCTCCCAGCTGCCCAATCCTTCCAAGGTGGATGGATGTGAGCCCCAGTCTCCTAGATGGTCGGGAGATGATCAGGCCAGTTACAATCCCAGCACTCAGGCCCACAAGGGCATACCACTCACAGGCAAATTGTGGTGGAATCAGGAGGTTTCCTGGACCCTTAGATTCTCTAAGGAATACTCTGATTGGCTGAGGCCTGAGAGGCAGTGATTAGGATTGGTTCATACTGGACCAATCAGGACCCAGTCCTGAAGGTGGCCTGACTCAACAACCTGGGCCTCACCAGAAGTGGGGGAAAGGGTCTTCCTGTATCTGGAGCGGCTGTAAAGGGCCTGGAGGCAATGGTAGAGCAGGGAGGAATCTTGAGTTGTTGCTAGATATCCTGAGACATTTCAGACTCACAGGGACTCTTATAGAACAAAGCAGAATAGTTAATCAGCTTACCACTGTGCCACCAAGGTTCCTGAGACCTGCCTTGTTGTTGTTAGGTGTCATCTAGTCAGTTCCAACTTATGGTGACCTCATGCACAACAGAACGAGATACCATCCTGCGCTGAGCCATCCTCAGGAGCCTTGCTATGTTTGACTCCATTGTTGGAGCCATGCATCAGTCCATTTCATTAAGGATCTTCTTCTTTCAAGGAACCTCCTCTCCAAACAAAAACCCTTCTATGAGAAGATTCCTACCCAAAGCAGCCCCGCCACTGGGTCTCTAAGGTGGTAAGTCTTTCTAGAAGGAAACTACCCATATTTCTCCCTTGGAGTAGCTCGTGAATTTGAACCCCCCAATTTTTCAATTTTTCAGTTAGCATCTGATCTGAGGACAGGAAGGACTCATTATACATCTGGTATAGGGGTGCTGCCAGGATAACCCTTTCTAAGGATACTCTTTTTTTAAAAAAAATTATTATTATTTTATTACTCTGTGTGTGTGTGTGTGTGTGTGTGTGTGTGTGTGTCTGTACCATCAAATCGGATCTGACTGGTACAGGAGATTGTCCCTCCTTTCCCGGGAGAGCATCTAGTGGATTTGAACCATGCGGTTCTGGGATTGCAGTGCAGCTTCTTGCCACTGGCCACCAGAGCTCCCCTAGTATACTCTTAATTCTTGGAATTCAGTAGTGAAAAGTCTGCAGCAAACTCCCTTCCTATCAGAATAACAACAGAAAAGCAAAAAATCCATTGGAGGATTAGTAGTAGTCATAATGTGAAAGATTCAACCTAGTTAACAAGGAAGATGCAAAATAAATGAGGTAGCCATTTTAAAAAATCAAAACATAACATCTTTTCTTTAAAAAGTTATTTCATGTTGATTTGTAAAACATAATCTTTCAGCGAGCTCTGCTGGCCTAGTGGCAAGAAACTGCACTGCAATCCCAGAGGTGCATGGTTCAAATCCACCAGATGCTCTGCTGGAGAAAGAGGAACAATTTCCTCTTGTACCAGTCAGATCTGATTTGACCTTACACACAAACAAATAATAAAATAAAATTTAAGAAAACCCCGCAAAAACAAACCATAATATCTCAGGGGAGAAAAAGTACAGCAATAATCATAGTAGTTTAAAAAAGTATTCTTATTTGCCATATCAAGTAAAGGGGGTGGGGTGGGAAAGGGAAACTTGAGATCAGAGCAATTTCTGTTCAAGTCTAAAGGTTGTTCCAAGCTCAGTATAAAATGGTCATATCAGTGTTCAGGGAAGGCTTCTTTCCATGCATTGCAAAAACTACTAAATTGTTGCAGGAATTCTACTTCCTGTCCAGCGACTCCAGGCAAAGGAACAGTGCTACAAGCTCTTTTGTTGAAGCAAGGAAAACTTTTTTTCCGTGGGGAAAGCTGACAGAGTCCACAGCCTCTCAAGGGTCAGGCTCCCCAAATGCAAAATGTTCTCTTTATATAGGCTTTGTAATGGTTGTTCTGTTCCGGATTGTTAATCGTTTTAATTGTCCATTCCTTTCAGATTGTCAGTCCCTTCACCTTTTTCAGTGCAGAGGGTTTTGTTTTGTTTTTTATCCATTTTTCCCTGTTCTCTGCCACTCAACCTATATGTTGTTGTTGATTGCCTTCAAGTTGACTCAGTGAACCTATGAACAAAAGGCTTGAAGCCCCTTTACAACTATCATTTATCAAAGTTCATAGAGTTTCTGGAGGCATGTTATTTAGGAAGTGGATGCCATTCCTGCTTCCAACAATAACAATAACAATAACAATAACAATAGGAGGTATACAGGCAAGTGGAAGAAGAGAACAGGGACTCGTCATATGCAGATATTTGTCCTTTTGTTTTTTTAAATTTTCTTTTTATTTATTGTATTATTTTTATGTGTACCGTCAAATCAGATCTGACTGGAACAAGAGGAGGTTGCCCCCTCCTTCTCCAGCAGAGCATCTGGTGGATTTGAACCGCATACCTCTGCGATTGCTGTGCAGCGTCTTACCACTAGGCCACCAGAGCTCCCTATATTTGTCCTTTTGTGACTGAGATAGATAGCTGAGAAACGCATGGGAGGAAAGTCACTAGCTATTAGAGATATGCAAATCAAAATAACAGTGAGATACAATCTCACTCCAGCAACCATGTTGTTGTTGTGTTCTGAGTCGCTTGAGACTCATAGCGACCCTATGTACAACAGCCCTAGCCCTAAACTCTGCTCTGTCCTGTGCAAATCACACTGTCTCCAATACACCCATCCTGATTACCACAGTCACTGAATCAATCCACCTCGTAGAGGGCCTTCCCCTCCTGTGCTGTCCCTCCACCCTCCCAAGCATGATGTCCCTCTCCAAGGACTGGTCCCTCCTTACAACATGTCCAAAGTATGTTAGACAGAGCCTCAGAACTCTTGCCTCCAAGGAGCCACCCGGTTTAACCCTTTCCAGGACAAATTTGTTTGTTTTCCTAGCAGTCCCTGGTACCCTCAATACTCTTCTCCAGCACCACAGCTCAAAGGCATCAATTCTCCTTCTATCCTCCCTAGTCATTGTCCAACTCTCTGATGCATAACAAGTGATAGCAAAGACCATGGCCTGTATCAGACGCATCTTAGTCTCCAGAGAAACACCGGTGCTCTTCAGTACTTTGGAGAGGTCCCTAACAGCAGACTTTCCCATGGCAATACTCTTTTAATTTCCTGGCTACTGGTGCCAAGAGTGTTGACTGCAGGGACAACACTGATACTAATGGTTAACTCCATTTCTGTAAAATGCTGGTCTGTCTGATACTTCTCTAAATCTGAACATTCAGATTAAGATAGACTAGGAAGAAGGATTGGCCATCCACTTCTGAAATAGCAGGCCTCTGAAAACCCTATGTACAACAGAACACATGTAGAATAACAGAAAGGACAACTGAGGTTGAGCTTTCAAGTATGGAAAGACAAAGGTAGAGGAACAGTTGTAAGCAGACCAGCAACCATAGTACACAAAACTTAACAGGACAGCAAACCACAAAAGCTGGTGGGGATTTGGAAAGATTGGCACTCTCCTACTCTGCTGTTGGGGATGTAAAATGGTACAACCACTGTGGAAGGTGGTCAGGCGCTCCCCTCAAAAAGTTGAAAATAGAACCTCCATTTGACCCAGTTATTCAACCACTGAGAATATACCCCAAAGAAATCAGATCTGTGACATAAACAGATGCATACATCCATGTTTATCGCAGCATTATTCACAACAGAAAAGAGGTGGACGTTGCCCAAGTGCCCATCAATGAGATATATTGACACAGTGACTACAGCAAAGGGCCAGCAATTGTGAAGTGGCTCAGAACTGGGCAAGGGTTCGATCTGCTGTCCATGGGTAACTATTAACCAGACTCTACTTGATAACTCCTAACAGAAAAATAATGCCGTGACACGAACGTTTCCTGATGTCTCAAGCTAAAGAGTGTCCTCTTAACTTTGAGATGATGTTAGCTTTCTCATCAAACTCAAAGTCTTTTAGGTTTCTTTTTGAACTCCTTTTGTTTCATTTTCCTATTTGCTTCAGCAATTTAAAACTAAGGCTAACATCCCTTCTGAGTTTTGAAGAATAGCAATAATGCTAATCGTGGTATGTTTGCCCAACTCATAATGTTAAGTTTCCCATGACAAGTGATAAGAACAGGTGACTATGTCTGTGACATGACTGCTGACTAGGCCACTCCAAGCAGGCAGAGCTACTGTGAAAGCGCTCACATTATGGTCTCCATGTTCCTCCCCTATATAAGCTCCCTACATTCTCTGAGATGAGCAGACAGATTTGGGAAGCCCATACTCCCTGTCTCTGTCTACTGGTGTCTTGTAAACCTCTTGTTCTCTCTGAGCACGGCTTTTGGTAGCAGGCAATTACTCAGTGAGCAGGGGATGTCCAACAACCGGAGGGCCTCACCCTACAAAGCCGTTTAGGTCTTGAGGTTTCTTTGTTCAGGGTTTTTTTTTTAAATTTATTTATTTTCTTCAAGGTTTTTGATTGTTGTTGGTTTTGTGTACCATTAAGTCAGAACTTATCCATACTGACCCTCTGGTGGGTTTTCAGAGGCAGTTGATCACATGGGAGGCGATTGGCCATCCTTCTCCCAAAGAGCAGCTGATGGACTTGAACCGTATGCCTTTGGGATTGCAGCACAGCTTCTTGCCGCTAATCCACATAGTTTTTGACAACATGTTTAATTTTAAGAATAGATAAAGGACTTCTCAGTTGCTCTATTTGTTCTTGAATATTTT